AAAAAAAAAAAAAAAAAAAAAAAAAAAAAAAAAAAAAAAAAAAAAATTGGAGGGGGGAGGGGCTCATTGTAGTTTAAGATATGATTGATATTAAGATTATCAATGTATATAAAGAACCATTGCAACCTCATCTCTCAAGCAGTTCCATATGGCCAACCAGCAAAACACTCTCCTCCCACACTAACACAGAAGCCATCTAACAGAGAGATAATACTCTTAGGGTCGTTTGGTTCAAGTACTAGTTATAGAAATTATAATGCAGGACTTGTATGCGGTGAATAATAACATACACATTATTATGCAGGCGAATAATAATGTAGGGATTACTTTCACAAAATGAATGAAAATCCAAATCTATGTATTGCCTACATGACATAATCATTCTAGAGGCTAGTTACCTTTTCGCTGGAAAGTATGCAACCTTTTTAAATTTAGTTGGATAATCTTTTATAAATTAAGGTAGAAATGCAACCGTCCGTAGTTCTTTCTTTGTCTCTTTTTCTACTGTAACTATCACTTGCTTCAGAAAATATCTAACCATGTTTCGTTTCTTTCCCAAAAAGGTAAACAAACATAGCATTTGGACCTTACAAAAACAATTACGGTGTCCATCCACCAGTAAATTTATATGTTTGACTGTACAGCAAACGGCATTTGATCAAAAACAAACACAACCATTTGCAATTTCATATTAATGACCATGCCAATAGCTAATCAGTTGCAATTTTTTTTTTTAATTTTATATCAGGTATTCAGTTTCTATAGTTAGCCCCAAATATTTGCTCCTTAACCTCTTGAAATAAAAGGATTACAATTTGAAGGTAATGGATATAAAGTTGAAGATAATAATGGAAATTTCCTTTTCAAAATTCAAAATTAAAAACTGGCGCATGTTCTTCAGTATAAAGGAGGTTTCAATCTGCCTTCTCTGATAGACCAAGCAATAACACTTGCGACATCCAGACTAAGTATCATATCTAGGAAAGAGATCGCAAAAGCCCTGAAGTAGGGACAAAAGCTGCAATTAGCCCCTCTATGATTTATACTCCGATTTGGCACCCAAGTGCATGGTCTAGTAGTGCTCAAAGATCAAGGTTCAAAACCCATCAGAGACAAAAAGACCAGGTTATTCTTCCTATCTGCCTAATCCTTAGTGGACAAAGTTACTCGGTACTTGTATTGGGGGACATAGCAGTACCTAGTGAAATAGTCTGAGTGTGCACAAGCTGGCTCGAACACTACTATCATAAAAAGAGAAAAGATCTATAGTCTAATTTAGATTACATATTCCAGCAAAAGTATCAAACTCTCATTATATGCTTATTCTAGTTTTGCAGTTCTTAATTCATTCAACTCATTGGCTTGTCTTCTTTGTAATTGAGGTCAATTATCACGTATACCTGATTTGCTCTTACTCACACTTAAACTAAAGAAAAGCAACTGTATTTATTGCAGTTATCCACTTACAACAGTAAGTAAAGTACTTTGCACCTACGACTGACTACACTCAAGCAGGACCTTAATTCAATTAAAGTACAGGTCTCTGATATATGCTTAAATCAGCTATAAATCGCAAGTAGAAAGTAAAATAGTTGACTAAATAAATAAATAAATACGAAATCATCAGATATGATCCCGACCAATTAAAAAAGGAAATGGACCTCAGGAGCAAGACGTTTGCAGTGGCCACACCAAGGAGCATAGAAATCGACGAGAATATAATCGAAGGTGGAAATTGCGGCATCGAAGTTGGATTCACCAAGCTCCAATACTTTCCCGCCGTCAACGGCGAACTGTTGCTGCTTCTGCTGCTCCGTCTCCGCCGCCGCGATCGACGGCAATGACGCCGGAGCTAAGAGGAGGAAGATGGAGACAGAGAGAAAAAGCATATTCATTTCAAATTGTAGCAGTTGAATGAAAATGAATGATGGGATCTAAACACTTAGATTTGGTTCTTTTTCTGTTTATTTCATTGTGCCACTTTGATGTAGACGAGAATTTAGCTTCGGCCTTCGAGGTCTGTTCAATTGATTTTCTTCTTCAAATAATTTACTAAAAGAAAATATGAATTTTAAAGTAAACTCTAAAAAGAGAAATAAATATTACCTCTATCTACTTTATACCACTATATTGTTGTTTGAAAAGTAAAACAATGTAGTATTTTTTTTTAAAATAGGTTTATTGTAACATGTTTATATTAATAATTTCAGGATTATATAATCGTGATTTTATTATTACATTTCCAATGTGGGATAGTTAACATAAAAATTTAGTATAACATTCATGTCGTTGTAAGTAGAGGTGTCAATGGTTCGGTTTGTTATTTTATAAAATTTGTATCATACCAATTTTTCGGTTATTCTATTATATATAATAAAAATTAGACTTTTCAAAACCGTCTCAATCATGTCGGTTTCTCTTCGGTATCGCTACGGTTCGGTTAATTTTCGATTTTTTTTAATATCATGTAAAATTCATCAGTAGAAGTAGAATGCAATAACATACGTTCTTTTATAGGACTTAGCAAAACTCTCTAGACATTTTTACTGTTTAAAGGGTGATAAATTAAAAAAAATGGCTAGAGTATAAATCCATCAACTATTCTACAACAACGTAAAAGAAATCAAACAAAGGCAAAGAAAATATAAATCACACGAGTTGAAAGATATACCAGGTTGGGACTCAAGAATAAAGTCTATAGAAGATTAAATATTCAAAAAGATAAATCTAAATTATATGAAAAGAAACATATTCAATACATTGTAGTTTGCTACTCATAATTGCTAGAATACTTTGTGTCTTGCTAATAAAGATACTTGAAATAACTTAGTTTAAGTAGAAGTAGCACAATAGGTTTTAGGAATTAGTATTTTGAGTTTAATTACTTGTTGGCTTGTAATAGTTTTTATAATTCCAAGGCCTAAAGAAAATTTAATGCATTATTATTTTTAAACTTACTAAATAAATATATTTTCCACATGTAAAATTTATTCGATACGGTTCGGTATTTTTCCGGTTTATTTTTATAAAATAAAAAACCTACCCTAATTATCGGTACGGTTATAGATTTATATCAAAACCTACGGTTTCTTAAAAAGAAACCTAAAAATCGGTTCGGTGCGGTACGGTTCGATCGGTTTAGTCGGTTTTCGAATATCCATTGACACCCCTAGTTGTAAGTTAGTACCCATAATTGTCACACCTCTTATTTACTACACCCGAGGGTATATATAAGGAGTTTTCCGATTAAAGTGACATTATTCGAAATGGGATTATTTATTTATTTTATTCAGAGTCGCCATTTGGGATGGTTTGTTTTCTGGTGTCCCTAGTCACCGGTTTATTTTAAAATCCCAAATCGAGGAAATTGGACTTTCCTTTTGAAGTCTGCGAACCAGAAATTCTAAGTAAGGAATTCTGTTAACCCGGGAGAAGGTGTTAGGCATTCCCGAGTTCCGTGGTTCTAGCACGGTCGCTTAAACCATTATAATTGGCCTATTATTTGATTTTAATACATGTTTTAGCCTATGGTATAATTTTAAATTATCAATCACTTTAATTAATTTTAAAGAAGATTTAACGTCGTCTAAAACATGTCTTTGGACCGCGCCACATGAAATGCACCCACAATCCGAAACACATTTATTCAACGTTATTAAGATTTGGATTTGGGTCACATAAAATGCGCACCCGAATTTAAGAAGGTAATATTATTAAAATAACGCGCCTAAAGCAACTATGCGTTGTTAACTTTGCGAGGGCCATGAAAATTTGCTAAATGGCTCGCCTCGGATTCTAAGGATTAAAATCGATTAAGTGAGGGCCATCATGCTTCGACTAATTAACGAAATCTAAATCATTATGCACTAAAGAGTTGGGATTTTTAACCTTTTTTTAAATCTAATGCTCATACTAGCCTAAACAGAAACTTTCGCGTTAAAGAAAAGGACAGATCTGATTGTTAACTGGCTCATGCCATCTTCAGCAAATGAAAAGGAAATTTGAAACAAGCAGGCCCGATATGATGAAGCCTGCAACTCCGTTTTAAGTGGCCTCATGATCCAAAGCCCAAAGAATAGCCCAATCTTTTGAGAACTAAGGCCTGAGGAAGACCAGACTCGAGTTCGAGTCTCTTGGCGCATAAATGGCAGCTGAAATCAGAAATATTGACATGGTACCAACAGAGCATTCAATAACAATCAATCATGCTAGAATCAACCTTCAACTAATTTCAAAAGACAATTTCAAATGTGCTTAAAACTCTGTTCAATACCTATAATTGACAAATAGAATTGTATGGGACTCTCCAATGAACAAATGCAAATCTAAACATCAATCTTAAACTAAATATATTTTTTAAAAAAGCACATCATAAATAAGTCAATGCACAACTTGACTCTTAAAGTAACTTGAATCATTTTCCTTTTCTTTTAAGCATGACTTCTATTCATTACTACTTAAGAAACATTCAGTTACCTATTGCATGAATGCAATGCTATTGAAATACAACGAAATATGTTGTAATAACCAGATGCATTACATAGCAGGAAGAGACCTAATAGAATCTGCACGATCTAACATGGTCGAATGCACAATCTAACTACTGATGTGACCAAACTAGTTATTCATCGAGTTTTCCAGAATAATGCAAGATAAACAACATCTAGCTACAAGATACTTGATAGAAAATTGATTTCCCATTGAGTACAACCAAATATAGCTCTCAGAAGGGTATTGTCAACATCCAGCAGAATTCAATGCACTAGATAACTCAATAATTCAAAAAAAAAGATGATGAAATTAAGCTATGAACAAAACAAGTTGAGACTGTGCTTAAAACTCCCAATTTCCATTTCATACTTCAACTCAAGCTTCACATTAAATAGGATTCAGGAACATGTACCTGATTATAGCAAAACAAAACCAGAAAAATCAAGCTTGAGGTCAGAGGGAAGCAGCAGCAGTAAACCAAACAAACAGGAAGTAACAGTAGAAGTCAACTCAAGATCAGCAATGGAACAGTGATCTAACAGCCCTCAAATCATCTTTTAATCCCAGAATAAGCTAGAAATTCTTCGAAGGTTTCAAAATTGAAAGACTAAACTTGCAGAATTAGATCAACTTCTACCCAAAATGCAAGAGTTTTCAAGTGTTTTTTTAGCTTAGCCGTCTGCAACCTTTTTAGAATTTTTTAGTCCCTCCAATCTCTGCCTTAAGCCTGAAGAAAGAGTGCCTTTATAGGCAAGCTTTTAGGGCAGCAAGAGGAATTCAGTTTATTGCACTTTTACCCTTTTGATATTTTCATTCTTGCTTAGATAGCCTTAGGTTCAAAAATCAAATTTCGCATTAGTCCCCACCCCATCTTCTAAGAAGCTTCCTCAATCAGTTAAAAGAGATTCCCTTACCTAAATTCCCCAAACTAACCCTTAAACCCCGGTCAATTACCCCAGCCTATCTCACGGGTCAGGTTGACCTAATAGCTTAAACCCAATTGAGCGGGTTTCCCTTGAAAATGGGTCAGAAATGACCCCAAAGCCCAAAGCCAACCAGAAAATCCATTTGGTAATTCATGAAAAGCAGAAGAAGAAACCAATTAAAAAATTTCAAAACCAAAATCTAAACTAAATGACTGATTTAAACCAAATAATAAGCTAGAATTAATTATATTACCAAGTCAACAACATCTAATTAAACTAATCATACAACTAAAAATCAGAAGCTTAAAGTCATGAATGACAATTAAGAATGACGAGTGAATAAAACAACGTTTAAAAGTTGAAAGGAAAACTGAAACACAGCCGGAACAAATACAGACATGGATCGATCCAGAAGAAGAAGTAAAAAAAGGAAAGCCTAGGTTCAGAACCTTGGTCAATTTTCAGTCTATTCACGAAAAAATGAGAAGAAAGGAAGAGGACAAAATGGACAGAAAAGATAAGAGAAGGGAGGACTTACCAACTCAAATAAACACTTCTGGATGCCCTGCTTTAAACAAAATTGATGCTAATCACTTATTCTTTGTCAAGAAAAAGCGGACAACATTAATTTTGCCTTGAATAAGATTTCAAAACTCGGGAAATTGGAAGCCTATGTCATGCATGCCACAGATTCAAAAGATTCTGATTTTGGGCTTTTAAAGCTTCAACTTCGATTCAAGATTCGACGAAAGTTAGGGTGATTCGAGGGAAAAGAGTGACAGATTTGGGACAAGGAAGGCTTGGGGGTTCTTTGGTGTTAGTTTGGGGTCGATTGGTGGTGCTCCACCACCGGAGAAACTATGGCGGCGCTAGGGTTCCGAGTTTTAATTTGATATTCGAGGAGCTCTGGCTGGATTTAAGGGAAAGTGAACGGGGATTTGGAAAGAGGGAGTAAGGAGAGTATCTGGTGTTAATTTCATGGCGATTGGACGTCGGCCGCCGCCGTGGGTGATTTTCGGCAGGCGGCAGGCGGTGGCGTTACGTGAGAGACTGAAGGGGTTGTGAGAGATGAGTGAGGGGGTAGGGGGTCTGATTTCGACCGTTCAATAGTTAGGGGAAGTTAGTTCTGGTCCATTAGATTGACAAGGATCAACGGCTCAGATTTTTAACTTTAGGAATGACGTCGTTTGGATTTTGAGTGGGTTGGACCGAGTATTGGAGCGGGTTTGGGCCTGGGTTGACAGGTGTTTGAGAGATAATTCATTTGGGCCTGAGGAAAATCGAATAAAAGGGCCCAAAATCTAATTCTTTTTAACTCTTTTCTCTTTATTTTCTTTTCTTTAATTCTTTTCTTTTTCCAAATAAAAATAAAAACCTAAATTAAATCTCAAAACTAGATTATCCTACCAAATTAAATTAATTAACTCTAAATAATAATTAATACAACACAACTAATTAAATATCAAATTAAAAGAAAAACTACAAAAATTCGATGCTGAAAATTAAATAATGCAAAAAATGAGTTATTTTTGTGATTTTTCTATTTTTGTAAAACACTAATTTACCAATTAATCTAAAAATGTAAAATTAAATCTTAAATACAATGCGTGAT